CCCTCTAATCATTCATTTCTTGATTTTTTTAGACAACTATATTCTTATAGTCTTATGAATCTAACCCTTGTTCATCAGACATGAGACATGGATATGGTACGAAATTCGTGGGAGATGAGCTATGAATCCACCAAAATGGATATGCGAAAGATTGAAAAATGGCAATGGATCAAGAACTGTTGACAAAACAGTGATTAGTGCTCCAGTGGACAGGGACAACGTTCGGGGCTGTTTGAATGTCAGGATAAAGAAGTTTGAGAAGGAAAACAGTCATTGTATCTGTTTGTCTTAGAAGCAAGAATCTTCAATGGAATTGTAAGTTCTCTTTTGTTTTCTTTTCGGGTTTGCAGGATTCTGTGGTAATTTATCCATATAAAGGTAGAAAAAAGAAACAGTCATTGTATCTGTTTGGTAGTATGGGAGATTAGTTTCTTGGAGAAAGGGGTTTGGTTTTGTTTCAATTTATTTTATTTATTTTCTTTTGTGTGTAAGAACTTTTTGAGTGTTCATCATTAGACAGTGTATGAGTGTTTAAGTTGTATAAAACTTTTCTCACGTGTGCTTTAATAAATTCAAAACGTTGACTTAATATGCTCTTAAGAAGTTGATAAAACAAATTCAAGATTCATCAAACAGCGTTCACATTACGAGAAACTAAGCAGAAACGTAAATACATGTACGGGGGCAGTGTCGAGCCTTTGCAATATCCATCCTCTTTCTTTCTTGTTGCTTCGACCTTCCACTAAAACCACAACCCAGTTTCACGGATGCATTCTACAAGAAAACCCACAAGGGAAAAAGACCTTTTTTTTCAAGATTCAGAGAAATTTCTTGGGGAATCCCTAAAACAACACCTGCAGTTTTCTCTGCAGCTCCTTGTAGCTTCTAAGGATTGGCTTTTTCGTCGTCGTAAGCAGCAACGTGAATCCCCAGAGCGGCTCGGCCAGATGGGTCGAGATTCTTTGACCAAGCTTCATCCCACTCCACGGCTTTAGCCGTGCTGCATGCCACACTTGGACCTCCTGGCACGGTTGCCCTTGCAGCACTCTGCTCGAGCAGAGGAATCAGAGTTTGATCATTCTGAATGCCGAAAGGAAGCGTTTAAATATATATCCATACGAAGTACCTTAGGGAAGAACTTCTCGAAGATGGTTCTGTACTGATATGCTTCTTTTGTCTTAGGTGTGTTCTCGGGGAAGACAAAGCTTGCGTTCATCAACATAGTGTCAGAGACCTTGCAAATACAGGGGAGGTGATGTGTAAGTGTGAGATGAAGGGAGACATAAAAGATCATTCTCGAAAGTATTAAAGACGACATGCTTACATGTTTGTTTGCGTGGTCTTTCAGACCATCAATCCAGCTGTACCCAACTCCATCACTGAACTGTTCTTTCTGCCTGTAAAGAATGTGCTGCATTCACCCAGAGAGAGAGAGAGAGAATGGGTTAAGAAAGCCTATTTGTCATCTAAAAAGGGTAAACCTGTTAAATTAGGCAAATATGCATTGCATGCAGATTACAAAAGATGAATATTGCAATGGAAGCAGGATGTTTCCATGAAATGGAAGAGAGCAGAAAATTTTGTATGCAAACCTTTGGTAGGTAAGGATGTTGCTCGTCATCAAAGGCATTGCGTAGAACCCACTTCTCAATCCTTCCAATGTCTGGTCGGACCTGCAACGTATTTTAAGACCAGTTTTTCATCAAAAGTAGGTAGCTTGGCTTGAACCTTTCATATCCTCTCGATCTGACCCGTAACACATTAATGAACAATTTGTTCATAAAAGATGCCAAAAATCAGTTCTCAGTCTCAGAAGAAGTGGAAATTCCCTGAAAAGCGCAAAGATCAATCGGTGAATGGGATAAAAGTGTAGGGCAGGATGCAACCTACCATCTTCCACTCGGGATCAATGCTCATAGCAACATTCAAGAATTCTTTATCCAAGAAGGGTACACGAGCCTCAACACCCCATGCCGAAGTTGCTTTGTTGGCCCTCAAGCAATCATATTGATGAAGAGCTTTGATCTGTCAATAAAGAGAATGAGAAGATTCCAACTGATATGAAAGAACAAAAGGCAGACCAAGCAAGGAGATCTGACCATCTAATTGGCAATACCTTTCGGCATGTTTCCTCATGGAGTTCCTTTTTGTTGGGTGCTTTGTGGAAGTACAAGTATCCTCCAAAAATTTCATCTGAACCTTCCCCAGAGAGAACCATCTTTACACCTAGAGATTTGATTTTCCTCGACATAAGAAACATCGGGGTGCTGGCTCTTACAGTAGTCACATCATATGTCTCAATATGGTAAATAACCTCTTCTATAGCATCTATCCCTTCCTGATATTATCAGTAATGAAAGACTCTTTAAGAAAATATCAGTTCAAGAAATGGGTCTTCATTCTCGGTACTCTTCCAGATGTAAAAAGGGAAATTACCTGAACTGTAAAGTGAAGCTCGTGGTGGCGGGTTCCAAGATAATCAGCGACTTCTCTTCCAGCCCTCAGATCCGGGGAACCCTGAATACAGAGAAATATGAAACAATAAAGATCGGAAAAAGCAAAGATTTTGAACATGAAAACAGCATCAAAGAGCAATTGGGTAAAGCCAGGAAGACCTTCAAACCAATGCAAAATGTATGCAACTGTGAACCCCATTGAAGAGCAGTTTCTGACTTGTCCAAGTAGCGTGATGCCACCGAAGCAACAAGGGATGAGTCTAATCCTCCCGATAAAAGGACCCCAAAGGGCACATCAGTCATCAATCTCTTTATAACTGCCTGCAGGTCAAAGAAGAAATGTTTACATTTTACCAAATAACATAAGTGTTTTCCTTAAGCATAATAACCAAAAAAAATGACACTGAAAGTTATTTAAGAGCAGAAATGAGAAAAGTGGTGAAGAGGTACCTTCTCGAAAGCATTGCGGAGAACTAGTGGATCGTATGGTGTTGAAGGAACCTGCTCAGTGTACCATGGGGGGTTATACCACCTTCTAAGCCCTCCTACAAAAAAGCAGTCATGCCCACTAATTTATTAAAAATATAAAACTGATGATGAATGATGATTTACAAAAACAATTGCAGCTCCATGCATGTGCCTACATACACCCCCAAGATTTAGACAATAAGCTTATCATGTTGATAAACTGTTTTCCAGATAGACGTAGTTGCCATACATTGAGCTTTGATTTGATGTTATAAACTCATTCTCCAGCTTAAATTTAAGCAATGTATTACTATACATACCTTGTTTACTCGAGTAGATGTGGCCGGGAGGGAAACACATAAATTGTTCACAATCATCGCTGAGTGCTTTCATCTCAGATGCAAACCAGACGGAACCTATGGAGATGATTAAGAAAATCATTAATGAAAAATCTGCATGAATGCATAGCTTCAACCTTGGAAGCAAATTTCTTAGAAAATGAAGCATACCATCAAGACCCCATCCAATGTAGAGTGGAGTGATACCGATGGCATCCCTAGCAGCAATAAAACTTTTGTCACGGGTATCAAGAAGGACAAACGAAAACATGCCGTCTAACATGTCAACAAATTCCTCTCCATGTTCTTCGTACTGTGATATTTTAATCAATAACAGAGAAATAAAACAAAGGTAAGCACTGTAAGAGTTTGATCAGCTAATAAAACGCAACAGAATTGACGTCTGAACCACCATCAGGAAAAAGACCTAAAAATGTTCACCTATTGAAGAAATGATGAATTCTAAACTCGACACTGGACAAAAATGCAAACAGACAAAGATACTAAATCGGGGATAGCCAGAGCAACAACAGTTTAGTCTCTTCTTATTTCTGCATACTTACCAGATGAGCAATTACTTCACAGTCACTACCAGTACGGAACTGATGTGACTTTAGCTTTAGCTCTTCACGCAAAAGCTTGTGGTTGTATATCTCCCCATTTACCTGAAAACCGTACAAACATCGATCCAACCATTATGTTTAATATTAACAAGCAAGTAAAGAAGAAGTGCACATTCAACAACGTGTATTAAGACAGCAATGAAACCAGCCACAACTAAGAACCCATCATCACATAAATTCCAGTATTTGTCATAACATATGGATGATTAGGAAGAAAGATGCACTCCCAGTTCTCTAGGCAACATGAATTAAGACATAAGAACAATACCGTGACAACGACTGTCTTGTCTTCGTTGTAGAGAGGTTGATCCCCAGATGTCGGGTCAACAATGGCCAAACGCTCATGAGCAAGAAAGCAATCATCGTAACAATGCAGGCCGCTCCAGTCAGGGCCTCTATGCCTCAATCTACACAAACAAATGTAAAGCAACCAAAGCCACCAACAGATGTCAGCTCATTTCTCCACCAGGAAATTTCAATGGCTTCTCTCAACAGGAATCGAAATCGGCTATTACAACGATTCGGGCCTACAAAACTTTACATCTTTTCTTTCGGGTCAACATAAAGTTCTCATCTTCTCCGCAAAAATCGAACCTTTTTGCTACCAGACCAAGTAAAAACCGCACATTTAACAAGAAATGCAGTGTCCCGGAAAGAGTTGAGAAGAATTAAACGCCTCTCACATCTTCCGACACACAAATTCATCAGCAAAAGCAAAGTGAATCTACTAAAAATGGAGGGATTATGGGTACCTGCGAGAGAGTTCGATGATACGGGACCGTTTCGCTTGGGAGCTGTCGATGCACCCAAGGACGGCGAGAATCCCACACATGGTTGGCTACGACTTGTGTGTGCGTGAGAAATGGCTGATGAAAGGATCAAATTTATACTCCGCAGAAGAAGAAAAACGGCAATTATATATGGCGGCTCTGAATCGGAGCCGTTGATTCTGTCGATATTCTTTTTTACTTTAACCCTAATCCGGTCGAGGCTTTTGTCCCTTTCTTGAACCCTTTGGCAAAGATTCTCTATCACACCAGCAAGACCGACTCGGCACTGAATATCTTGCAATTTCCAAGCTCTACTTATATTACATAGTTTTGCCTTTCATATTATACGACGTCGTTTGTCTGCAAACGAGCCTTTTTTTTTTTTTGGTCTTTCTGGTTTTAATGCTAAAGATGTAAACAGAAAGAAGAGGAGCATTATGTACTTATGTAGTCTGAATGAGCAATGCTTGGAATTTAATGTTTTCTATTACAATGAAAATTAAATGTCGTAATAAGTTTACGTTTCGAAAAAGGGTTGTAGTAAAGGCTCGTAAAAGTGCTTCCTCCTACGAATCACGTGAAGTCACGTGCAAATGATTTGTTTCTTTAATACAAATTACAATTACAATAACATAATAATGCCATGGTTGGCGGTTTCCCCGCGTCACCCATATAAACACGTCTAACTTGAAACCCATCGTCCCCCTCCTCTGTTCCATTCCATCTCTCTCTCTCTCTGACGCTGCGAAAGCGCAGATTCAGATCTAAACCTCTGTTTCGCGGCGACATTCCTCGGGACGAGAATGGCGACGGTTTCACCTTTAGCCAAGTACAAGCTGGTTTTCCTCGGCGATCAATCCGTTGGCAAGACTAGCATCATCACTCGATTCATGTACGACAAATTCGACACCACTTACCAGGTTGAATTCTCTCTCCCTTTTTTTATTTCTTCCTTTTTATTGGTCAAATTCATGGCGATTCTCTGTCTTTTGTCGCCTGATCGGAGAACGCCTGTCTGTTGGATGCCTCAAACCTTTAAATTTGGATCCGACTCTACGTTTTCCGATATTTGCTGTTGATTTTGCTTTTCTCGCAAACCATACGAATCTTCGATCTATTGTGAACCGTGATGACGTTTGACTTTGTCTCTCTGATTATGGTTGTAATTCTAACTCTCGATGAATCTGTTGTTCGAATGAGTTGGTGAATTTTGCGCCGATCTTCTCTTGATACGAGTTTCTAGGGATTGTTCATGAAGGGCGGTGTAGACAAAATGTTCCTCGTTTGGAGAAATCCCTGGTCTTTCCGTTGTAATCCGAGAAAATAAATGTTTGCTGAAAAGAAGTAGAATGACAAGGAAAAGAAAGATCATTTTGAGGCATCATGTGGATTTCTTTTTCCATGTATCGGAATATTTCCGACACTCTTTACCATTTCGAGAAACTGAATCTTTGTACAGGCTACTATTGGAATCGATTTCTTGTCCAAAACCATGTACCTTGAAGATCGGACTGTTCGTCTGCAGCTCTGGTAATCATCCCCCCCCCCCCCCCCCCCCCTT